TTCCTTCCTTAAAAACTTTCTATGTAAAACATACACTCAGAAAAGTTCCCAATTCAGAAATGTGTCCCTTGTCTTTAAAGACTTTTCTAAAACCAGTGAACTTTTAGGTTTTTTACTTTGTGCACTTTTCAAAACTGTCTACAGTGAGCTAGAATTATTACTAGATTCAGAAAAATATCACCTTTACAAGGCATAGTTTTCGTTGATCAGAGAGTTTCCTTCTCTGTATAAAGCACTTTAAAGCTCCTTATCTTGCTCAAATTTATCATGGCGCTGGGAGAAAGGCCAACAAGGAATTAATTTCCTCATGAATAAAATGAAGATGCCACCTTCCTCCCCAGGCAGGCAGAGGACTGCAGGTGGTATCTCCTGTGAGCACTGGGCAGTGAGCCACCTGTTGGCTCCTGGCATGGGAGGGCTCTCGGCTGGGCAAGTCTCCCAGCACTCGGCCCAGAGGGGCCACCACTGACTCTAATGGAAAGTGCTCTGGCTTGCCAAACCGGGGCTCCAGAAAAATCCTATTTCTGGGAATCCGCCCTAAATAAGTTGTCACAATGCAAATCGATTTAATGCAGCAGTGTTTTTAATAGCGAACATTTAGGATTAATGTAAGTGTTCAGCAGAAGGAAATTGGCTGCATAAACTTAGTCATTGAAAGGTGGAATATTTCACTACCATTAAAACATAGTTCTAAAATATAGATTTGTGGGCTTTAATGTTTACTGAATGAAGTGGGATCAACAGTTGCACAGACAGAGAGGTGTCTAAGATATAAACCTATAGAAAACCACCAATGGAAGAAAATGTGCCAATAGAGTAAGCAGGTTTCCTCCTGGTGGTGGGGTTATGGTGATGGCTTTCTCCTTCATTCACAGCTCTGACTGCCAGTGGTAAGCATGTCATTTCCATAAGCAGCAGAAGCAAAGAGGGAAGCGTTTAAGTCGCCAGCGACCTCCCAACCTCAGCCCTCTCGCTCCTGTCTCCACTTCGTAGATATTTCTAGATATTTCCTTTGACTCCACTGAGTATTGCTTTTAAAACGTACACGTACAATCAGCAAAATCACGGGGTGAGAGGAGAACACAAAACAAAGCGCTCTCAACGTGAATCTTGATATCACAGAAAACAAGAAGCTCAGAGGTGTTTTGCAAAGCACGTTTCCCTGCTTAAGGGCGAGGAAGCAGGCTCGGGGATGCTGGGGGGCCTGCCGAACTCACCTAGCGCTGGTAACACGGACTCCCAGAGGAGGCTGGAGGCCGGACTGGAGGGAGGCCAGGATGCCCGGGCTGGGTGAGGAGCCCTCGCCTATTTGTTCCAGATACTGGGAGATGTGGGTGGAGTGATACCCGGGAAAAAGGGACCAAAGTCCCCATTTATGGCTTTGAGGAAGTTAATGTATAATATGGCTTTGGGGAAGTTAATGTATAATATTCTAGGGTATAAGCTGGAATTGTGAGGGGAGACCTAGAGCCTAGGCCTCCAGGAGTCACTGAGAGCTGCCCCCGGGGAGCTGCTGCCATGTTGGTGAGGATGCTGGCTTGCCCACCGCCCACCCATTGTATTCACCACATCTTTGCCTGAATGGAGGTTGGAGGGGACGCTAGGGGAAGAGTGTCGCTGCCCTTCCCCAGGCCTGATTCCCGGCAGTGTAGTGAGGACAGATCATCTCCATGTAGTGAGGACAGATCATCTCCACGGCCCTCTAGCATGCGGGTTCCCTGCTTCTCCACCACCATGCTGAGCCTGTCTCTTCCCCTCTCTAGCCTCAGTTTTCTCGTCCATAATAGTAATAGCAGCAATAATAACTGCTAACATCTGTTGAGCTTTGTAAAGATGAAGAAACCGAGGCTCATAGATTAAATTGCCCAAGGTCACAATGCCCTGTGACCTTGCAGGGCATTGAGTGGATGCTCTTCGAGGTCCCTGATGCTTTGATTCCAAACCTGGCTCTGCCATAGCTTGGCGTGTGTCCTTGGATGGGTCACTGCCCCTCTCTGAGCTACAGTCTCCTGAATTTGGGGAATTGGGTCACAGAGGGTTTCTTCTGAGGATTAGATGGTGTATGAGTTTCCTGTGGCTGCTGCAACAAATTTATTCTCTTACAGGCTAGAGGTCTGAAATTGGGGTGTCGGCAGGGCTGGGGCCATGCTCTCTCTGAAGACACTAGGGAGGATCCTGTCTTGTCTCTTCCAGTTTCTGGTGGTGGCTGGCAACCTGTGGCATTCCTTGGCCTGTAGCCGCAGCGCTCAGCCTCTGCCTGCATCTTCAATGTCCTGGCTTTCTCCTCTGTGAGTCTGTGTCTCTGGATCCCAATTTCCTTCTTCTTATAAGGACACCAGTCATATTGGATTCAGGGCCCACCCTAAACCAGTACAAGCTCATCTAACTTGCTTACATCTGCAAAGACTATTTCCAAACAGGTCCCGTTCCCAGGTTCAAGATAGACATCATTTTTGGGGAGACACTCTTCAAGCCGCTACAGGCGAGATGCAGATTTTGAGTGCAATCAGAGGGGGTCAAGTGTGGAAGGGATGATGCTCCCCACACCCTCTGCCTCTCAGGGAGGACCTTGGGGCACACTTTACTGATTTTCTCCTTTTTTTGGTCATCTCAATCACCCTCTTTCTTTTCTCCTTCTCCAGAGACCACCTAGTCCAAGTCTCTTATATTACAGATGGGATGACTGAGGACCAGAAAGGAGCACAGCTCAGGTCACTGAGCCAGTCTGGGGCGGAGCCGGCACTAGGCCGGGGCCGCTGACACCTGTCCCCATCCTACCCCAGCTTTGCTTTCCTATCTCTGTCTGGGCCTCAGACTTGGTTGAGTGGAGACCTAGAGGCCAGGCCTGCACTCTCCCACAGGAATCCTTGTTTGTCCAGCTGTCCCCCCGACTCTGGATGACAATGAGTGAGCATAATGATGGCCGCCCCTCGATTTGCCTTAGTCTGTGCTGGGCCCTATGTGTGGGGCTTCACGAACACCATCTCAGATTCTCCCAACCAGCTTGAAGGTGGGTGATACTAACTTCGGGGCCTTCAACCGCGTCTGTCAGCGATGTATCCATTTACTTTGAACGAATAAATCAAATTAGCCCATTTTATAGGCAAGGAAAGTGAGGTTTGGAGAGGGACTTTTGATGGACATTTCAGAGATGTGACTTCTAGAGTTTTACAGATTCTTAGTTTTGGATGGATCAAGACCTGCATGCCTTCGATACAGTTTTTTTTTTTCTGTTAGGAAATTAAGTTCAAGTTTGTGTGGTCATTTAACATATCTTTGTTTGGGGGATTCTGCTAAGGCCACTGTGCCTTCATCACTTGAACACTGTGAGGTCAGCAGGGACCACTCTACCCATTTCACAGAGGGGCAAACTGAGGTTCCCTCAGCGGGGCCCTTCATTTCCTGATCCAGCTGTTCTTCTGATCAGGCTGGGATGGATGAGAGCAAAGGAAAACGGGCAAGAACAGGGCTCCGGGAAGCTTCAGTCGGAGGATCGGAGCACGCTGGCTCTTTCGCTTTCCAGCTCAGCGCCCCCATGCGCATGCGCAGGGGGAGAGCGAGACCTGCGGCCCAGTCGAGATGGGATAAGGCTCATGAACAGCATCTGGGCGTGTGTGTGATTGACGTTTTTGCAGAAGGTTTCTCTGTTGGTGCAGGGGAAGTTTGAGATTACGAACATGGACATGAAGTTGGGGACAACCCTGAAGATCAAGGGCAAGATCGCTGATGATGTTGATGGGTGAGTAAGGGGGGTACTGGGGTGTGGGAGAGAGAGGGAGGACTGTCTACCCGGAACAGGCCGAGAAGTGGGGACAGGTGGGGCAGCCTGGAGATGGTCAGAGATGAGAGTGACCTCAGGCTAAGCGGACCTTTTTTACATCTTCGCTCACCCCTGTTGGCTCCTTTCCTGTTTGGACATGTCTTCCTATCTGAGGCTAAGTGGGGGACCCTCAGAATTTCACAGCTGACACCATATGCTTTATCCCTTGGCCCCAACAGACACTGAAGGGGCAGGTGGAGAAGCCCCTGGAGCTCTGCCCACCCCCTGAAAACTCAGAACCCAGGGACACCACCCTCTACCCAGCTGAGAGCTGGGGCCAGCCTTTCACACACGTTAAACCAGGGGCAGCCACCAGGGGGTACCAAGTGGCCTGGTTTGCATCCTCCCTATCAGAAGCAGACACATTTATCCACCTGGCCAGTTACAGCTCAGCACTGGGCTCTCCCGTGTGTAGACTAGTTTCAGCATTTCTTGGGATGGATGTCCATCACCTTTTGTTTGGAGAGGGGACAGGCAGCTGGGATAGGAGCCAAGAGAAAAGTCACCATTTTGTCCTAGTTGGGTCCATCAGGTTGCAGAAAAGTGGGCTATCTCTGGTCTGAGACCTCCCAATGAAGGCACCCCACAGCCCAGAATGTCCCACTCCGAGACCTTGGTCTAACCCAGGCTTCTGTAGTGGTCCTACCAAGAAGTCACACAACCCCAGATTCCATATGTTGAATGACAGGGAGCTCCCCTTAAGCTGATGACCGTTTACGTCGAACTTAATAGGTCTTCAGATAGCTAAGGACAGCAATTCTCTTCTCGAGGCTAGACACTCCCAAATCTCGAAACTGTCACTAATGCTCCTAATGGAAGGTGATACTCCAGTGCCCAGTCTGACCACATTGTCACATTCATTGTTTTAAGGTACATTCATTGTTTCAATTCACATGACCTTTTTCTTTGGTGATTCCTCCAGGTCATGGTCAACCAAGACTCTGCGACCCAAGCCGTTTTACCCAGGGCTGGCCCCTCACCCTTACCTGTTACTCCTTCCTCTGTAGTTTTGTGATTAACCTGGGCCAAGGAACAGATAAACTGGACCTGCATTTCAACCCACGCTTCAGTGAATCCACCATCGTCTGCAACTCATGGGATGGCAACCAGTGGGGGCAGGAGCAAAGGGAAGATCACATATGCTTCGGCCCAGGGTCAGAGGTCCAGGTGAGGTCAAAGGGGAAAGGGGCCTGAGGACGATGTCAAAGAGAGAGCACAAAGGGAACACTGGCCCAGACACGTGCTGGCACGGTCTGAGCCACCGGGCACTGCTTTGGCCCATTTCCAGGTGCCTCCTGACTCCCTGACACCTTCCTTCCCACTGCAGTTCACCGTGACCTTTAAGAGTGACATATTTAAGGTGAAGCTGCCAGACGGGCACCAGTTGACCTTTCCCAACAGGCTGTGCCACAGCCACCTGAGCTACCTGAGCGTGTCGGGCGGGTTCAACATCTCCTCCTTCAAGCTTGACTGAGTGGGCAGCACCTCTCCGGATGACGGACGCAGCATCTGCCACCCTATCCTGAATTTCTTCCCAGTCACATCGGATCAGCAGCCCCTGGGTCCTGGCTCCCCACCTGCAGTTCCTGCCCCTCTGACTCAATTTTCTCCCCTCGAGATTAAGAACAAACTAAAGAATTCACCTTTATCCACCTTTCTGACAGAAACTGTGGTTAGTGTTTTCCAAGCGTTTTAATGCTCATGATACGGAGGAAACTGAGGCACAAGGTCATAGGACTGCCAAGTGGGGGTGGAGACATGCTCCCAAACTCCTCTAAGCACCCACTCCTGCCTGTCTGTCCTTGGTTATCACAAGGGCAAGTGACAAGTTACCCTGTGGGATTATGAGGCAGGCATCGGTTCCAGGTACCTGGGCCAGGGGCTGTTCCAGGAACTGCAGATAAGGCTCCCACCTGGGCCTCTTATCTCAGGAACATTCATTCCAGCCTGGTTACTCATTACCCAGCCACGGTCCCTCCCCTCCCTGGGGGCCCTGGGGGGTCCTTGGCTTCCAAACTGGAGCTGAATGAATGAGCTGAGCTGTTCTCCCAGATCCCCAAACATCTTACAGGACACCTTTTATCAAAAAAAGCTTTTTTAATCAGGACTCAGAGGCAGATCTGGGGTGCGCAGGAAGCGGGGAGGTTACCCCTGATTTTTCTCTGAGGTTTCTGGGACAAGTAGGGGTTCAGGTTGGAACATTGGGGAAGCAGCCTTAGCGAGGGCTAGGGCTCAAGGATGCAGAGGGACCCTGCTGGGGGCAGCTCCAGGATGACAGGCGGTCCCTTTGCAAAGAGACAAAGGCCCTGTGTGGTATGCTCCCTACCCCCCACCCAGCAAGGACAGCTCCCCAGCACAAAGGCAGCACTGTGAGGCCAGGCCTTCCAGCCACTGGGGGCAGGGCTAAAGGAATGGCCACAGGGTCCAGAGTGGCAGCAGGGGGAGGCAGGTCAGCCTGGCAGGGCTCTCCAGAACACCCAGGTCCCAAAACGAGCCTGGCCTCCCTCCCATGTCTGTCCTGCAGAGGCGCGGAAGGGTTTGGGGGCAACTTGGGTCCTCCCATCTGTCGTTGCCAGCACCTAGCTGTCAGGCGAGGGACTGGCTCTGTATCTGGGCTCTTGGAAAGTGGCCCGAGGCCTGGCAGCTTCCCGAGCCCGTGCTCGGCCACTCACACCTTGACCTCGTCGTCCTCCTCAGCGTCAGCAAACTCAAAGGTGTTTGTCTGCACCGAGCTGGGCACGGGGGCCCTGCTGCCTGCCTGGGGTGCCCCCCACTCTTCATCCAGGCTCTCCCAAGAGGCCCGAGCCTGGGGTGGCACCTTCGCCAGCTCCCGCTGAGCATCTATCTCGGTGTCGTGGCAGTTGTCCCAGCTGCCACCGCAGCCTGCTCCCCAGTGCCTTCCAGGGGCCACGGCAGCAGGTGCACGAGGACACTCTCCCACTGGGTTGACCCTCACCTCAGCCACTGGGCCCAACCCAGCGGTCACCCCATTAGGGTAGCGTCCACGGGGTAGAGGGCTTGGGGCAGGGGCTGGGGGGTTTGCTGCAGGGGCTGAGGCTGGGGGCGTTGCAGCAGAGGCTGGGGCTGGGGTCTCAGCTGCAGGGGCTTCTGAGAGACTCATGACCCCCAGCAGCTCGCTCAGGAGAGAGGGCCCAAGGTCGAGGTCCAGGCGGAAGGACAGGAGGGAGTCAGAGCGTCGGAGCTCAGGCTCAGAGGGGAAGGAGCTATCACGGTCTGGGTCTCGGTCACGAGGCTTTTCTGGGCGAGGCAGGCGAGAGATGGTGCAAAACCCGGAGTCTGGGCCTAGGAGAGAAATGGGGATCAGGGTCAGAGCTGGGGTCTCTAACCAGGAATTGAGGACGGGAGAGCCAGAACCAACCCCACGTTGCGATCTGGCCTCAGTTTCTCCCATCTTTCCAGAACAGTGAACCCCGTAGTCTCTCGTGTGATGCCCCCCATCAACCCTGGAAGCTGAAAATTGACATACTCCTCATTTGCATTTTGCAGCTGAAGAAAGTGAGGCTTAGTTTGGGATGAGGCGAAGGGCCACAGTTTGATGGGGTGGAGCCACGCCGGGTGCTTAAATGTCCCAACTCTCCGTCCCAGCTGTGAACTTGGCTATGGCCCCTGGTTTCCTGCCATGACAGTGGGGTGGAGCCACGCCGGGTGCTTAAATGTCCCAACTCTCCGTCCCAGCTGTGAACTTGGCTATGGCCCCTGGTTTCCTGCCATGACAGTGGCCCATCATTGAAGGTGAACCCATAGCATGTGTATTGGTCACAGGGAGGAACTAGCAGCTAGGGTCTGACTGCACAGAAGTTAAAGACTCAAAGAACAGGCAGATGCCCTCCACAGGTCCAGCCCCTGGCTCCAGGACTACCAGGCCTGAAACATAGTGCGATTACTGTGGGCCAGACCTCAGTGGGGTTCTGAGCAGTGACCTGCACGGGGAGCACTAGAGACAGGCAGCCACTGGTGCTGTGGCAAGGCTTCAGGGCAGTAAATGGCCACCAGGTGGCAGCAAGAGCTGTGTTCCCAGGTGAGCTGTCCAGCAGAGTGAAGTGGGCACCTGCTTCTCTCCACTAGGACAGGAAGGCCTCTGGCTTCTGTCCATGTGAGTGATTTTCCAAATTTGTCAGTGTCTTCTGGAGAGTGAGCTGGTTCCCACTCCTTGACCCCTTCCCTGTCCATGGTCTGAGGTTTGGGCCTGACCTCCACGGTTAATATCTAACTACTGTGGGGAAAAAAACTCACTTGGAGGCTTGGTTGAACCATCAAACCCTCTGGGCCTCAGCACCTGAAAGATGGGAAATAACCCGGGCCCTCACCGTAAGTGGAGTGGCCGTCCGTGGAGCCAGCATGGCTGCTGTCGAAGCTGATCTTGCTCACCACAAGGCTGTCGTAGGTGGCCTGGTTGAGCTGGGGCAGGGAGATGGCGTTCTTGATGATGGGGGAGATGGCAGGTGGAGCAGGTGAGGATGCCTGCGGGGAAGCTATCCGCCTGGGTGGCACCCCTACTCTGCGCACCTGCTGTAGCTTCTTGGCCAAGAAGCTGCGGGGCGAGCGGTGGGTGCCCCCGGAGTTGCCACCATGGTTGCTGAGGAAGGAGGTGTCGCCAAAGACGTCCCCGCCACGGCCCACATGCATAGTGTGGCGGAAGTCCCCGAGTGGGGGGCTGATCATGTCTGCAGTCAGCCGCCTCTTCCCCTGTGAGCTGGACACCCAGCCCACCGGTGAGAGCTTGCCCAGGCTCATGGCAGGGGCTCTTCTGGCCTCCTGGGGGCCTGGCATCGGCTCCGGCTGTTCACAGCTGCTGGTCCATGCCTACCTGGGGCCTGGGGTGGGCGGTGGGCTGGGATCAGGGTTTATGTCTCAGCTCCTTTCTTCTCAGTGTAAGGGGGTGGACGGAGGCTGTCCCTCTGTTCTCCTAAGGTGCTGCCCCCAAATGCTGAGACCGTGAGGGGTCCATGGCTTGTCCGTCCCTGAGGCCTGGCTCCTGGACCTGTGGAAGCAGCAGTAGATGTTCTATTGAAGAACAAAGGAGGCATAAGACGGGCCTCGAACGCGACAGGGTGTAGACCTGAAAGACAGACAGAGAGAAGAGTGATGGCGGGCCTGGGGGATCCTCAGTCCAAATAAAAATAGCTACAGAGGACACACGGTGACAGCCAACAGCAGGGGTGGGGATCACCGACAAAACGCTGAGCGGATGCACAAAGGAGGACACACTGTGTGACTCCATGTATAGGACATTTAAGAATGGGCAAAACTAAACAATGGTGATAGAAATCAGAATAGGGGTTGCCTTTGAGTGGGTATTGACTGGGCACAAAAAATTCATCGAGCTGTACATTTAAGATGTGGATGGTAATTGTACAGGGCCCTTTATGAAACTCCAAAGTGCCAATGACTTATGCTCATCACTCAGTTAACCCACACGACAGCCCTGAGGGAGGAACTATATTAGAAGGGGGACACAGAGGTAACAAAGAACTAAAGTGACTTGCCTGAGGCTACACAGGAGAAAATGGCGAAACGGGGCCCCTCAAATCCAGATCCCTTGAGTCCCAACCTACATGGCCTCCTGCAAGTCACCTCCCTTCTCCATGGGTTAAATTGTCTCGACTCAGTGGCTAGGAGGGAGGCGGTGCCCAGGAAAGGCTTTGTGAAAGCCTGTGTAAACAGCCCAACAGAGGTTCCTCAGAGCCCTCCGCCTTCAAGGTGCTTCCTGGAAAAAGGATCCTGTGGTCGAAAGTGGCTTTTTCCAGATGCCTCCTTATGCCTGAGCATATTCCCCATAGTTCGTCCCAGTACATAGGAGTCTTGTCGTCAGGGAACAAGTTTTGGAAAAAGCTCAGCTGGTGCCAAAAGCTATTTCTTGCCCACTCCCGCCCCTCCCGATCTCCCCACGGCCCTGATCTTCTTTAGGCTTCTCTTGGTCTGACCCTATCTCTTCTAGTATCTTAGAAAGTGTAGGCTGAAGGACACCTATGGGCTTATGGTCTAACCTCTGGTTTTCCTGTGGCCCAGAGAAGGTCCAAGCTTGCTCAAGGTCACATCAAGAGAACTAGTCGAGACTTGAACTCAGAGCCTCTGACTCACACAGCTCTTGACTGGCTCCTGGAGCCCAGTCTTGTTTCCCCAGATCGGCGAAACACTCCGAGGGTGGGGCTGCCACCTGGATTTTCTTGCCTTCCTCCTTCCCAGCACCCAGCCTGGGCTTTGCACTCGGCGTGGCAAGTGCCAAATCAATACCGGTTTAATCAGGAGATCCGCATGCCACAGGATAACTTCATGCTAAAGGATCACCCTTTGCCACCTTCCGAGTGGGGGATTTGGTGGCCTCACCACGTGACCTTGGGCAAGTCACTCACCTCCACAGGCCTGGGACCTCAGCTGATAATAATCATTAAGAGAACACCTAGATCTGAGTCTCGACTTAAAAAAAAAAAAAAAAATTGCTGCCACCTCCAAGCGTAAAAATCTCAATACTTCCCTTTGACTGTTATTTGAAATTCAAAATAGGTTAGATAACAAGATAAAAACAAAGAAGGCAATAAAACAAAGCTTGCTTTGTTTTCCGACTACATTCTCTTCCCTTCCCACCGTCCGATCCTCCCCCAACCCTAACTCCTCCTCCTCGGGGCGGGTGTGTGCGTGTGTTCTGAATCACCCTTTTCCCTGGCACCCCCGGCACCAAGAAGTCCTCGTGGAATGTTTGTTGTAGTTATGATGCGCTCTGCAGTTGGCCAACCACGACATGATGTCATCCGACTCTCCAACAGCCCTGCAGAGCTGCAGGGTTAGCCTACTTCGCAGGGAGAGCCCTTCGGAGGGATGGGAATTGGCCAGGGTCACATGGCAGGCACATGGTACAGGCCAGGTTTCCCTGCTCCGAAGATGAGGGAGGAATTTCTGGGGGAAGGAAGTGGGAGGGGTCTCATTCTGAAATATCACGTGGAGGGCGTCACTCCGTCTGCCATGTGGCCATACTCGCCTCTCTCCTAGCCCCTAACTGCCCTGGCTTCTTGAAGCAGTCCCTCCTTTCCCATCAAAAAAGAGGTCCAGCTCCCACCCAACTCCCATGGCCACTGTGACCTGAGAGACCAGCTTCTGCCCCAGCCTTGTGATGATCTCACCTCCCAAATGCCTCTGGGCATCTTCAGAAGGTCTCCACCTGCCCGTGTTGTGGGGCCCTGACACTGGAGATCTGTTTTTCCCACATGGAAAATAAGAAGGGCATCAAAGGCTGGTCCCCTCCCAGGAGAGTCTGAAGAGCGGAAGGCGCTGTAATTGATGCCCCGTTGCTGGAGCGGGTAGCTCTAGGTCCAAATCCAACATCCTCGCACTAGCATCTCTTATTCCGGGGAGTCTATTTGGCACTTGATGCTGACCACAGGGTATTGCTGGTGATCAAGTGTGCCCCACCTTGTGCCCCACCTGGCCCTGGAGTAAGCAGAGCTCTGGGTGTCCTGGTGCAAGGCCTGTCTCCCCTCGCTAGCCCTGGAATACTACCTGCTGATGCTCAGAACACCCATCTTACAGATGAAAAAAAAGAAGGCAAGGAAAGGGAATTAACTTGCTCCAGGTCACACAGCAGAAAAAGTGATTGGCTGGGGCCCTCCCAACATCAGCACCAATTGTGGGGGAGGGGTGAAGGCTCCAGGGGTTTAGGGGAGAGTTGTTTGAGGAAGCCACGGCCAGCCAGACAGCCACTGAGCACGGGAAGGGCAGGCCTGGGAGGCAGGGAAGGCTCAGCTCTGCAGATGCATTGTGCTGTGACCTGGACAAGAGGAGTCAGTCACCATGCAGCCTCGGTTTCTCAGGAATCCTTATATGTACCCTATAGAGCAGCGGTCCCCAACCTTTTTGGCACCAGAGTCGGGTCCTCCTATGAGAATCTAATGCTTGATGAGGTGGAGCTGAGGCGGTGACGCTAGCACTGGGGAGAGGCTCGGTGGCCGCTCACCTCGGCCTGTGCCGACAGGCTCCTAACAGGCCACCTCCCGGGACTGGTCCGATCCCGAGGTTGGGAACCCCTGCTATACAGTTAGGCCTGGACGCGTGGTAGCAGTTTACTCGATTGGTGGTAATGACGAAAAGACGTTGGAGGCCCCAGGCAGGGACCATGCATAAGGCGAGACCAACAGGGGCCGCTGTGGGGGTACTTGTGGCTGGGGACAGGCCAGGAGCCCGTCTGACTGCGGGGGAGGCAGAGGCGCAGGCGAGGGCGGCCGCACCCTGGCTCTCGCCTGGGGGTCACCTGCAGGCCGTGGTGTCCGCCAGCGGCGTCACCTCTCATCCTGGAGGCCGCTCGCGTGCACACAGCCCCCTCTCCCCGAGAGCGTCCGCTGGGTAACACCACCCCTACCAATGGACAGCAGGACCCTATCTTGGTTAGGGCTGCTCCGGTCCCTGGAATAGGGGTTAACTCCCTGGGGGCTGGTTTCGCACGCCCCTCAAAGGGAAGCCGCGTCAAGGTGGAGAGACTGAAAAACTAGTAGCGGGTTAAGAGGGGGCACTACGGGCCATAGGTGTGGTAGGTGGACCCGGCAGGGAGAGAGGCTTCTGGCCCCGCCGTCCCAAGGTAGAGCCAAGTGAGCCTCCAACGCGGCGAGGCGGAGGGTCTGCCGGCCAAGTCGGCCGTAGCCCTGGGTTATGGTGCCCGCGCCGTGTTTTGTGCGGCGGTGACCTCCAGGTCAGTCCCTTCCCCTCTCCGAGCCTCAGTTTCCCATCTAGAAAATGGGCTTCAAACTTCGCGGGTTGTGGCAAATATAGATATAGAACATGTAGAGAGGGCAGTGGGGATTGGAAATCCGAGAAAGAATTTAGCCATAAAACATTTCCTCGGCGGGGCAGGGGGTTAGAATGTGGAAGGTCGCTGGGCGCGGGAAGGGGAGAGCCGGCTGCCTTGGCCCGAGGGGAACCGGACAGAATGACCTCATCCGCTGCTCTGTCCTGGAATGCAGCGGTCAGGGAGGAGGCAGGGCTCCCGGTCCATCTCCCCAGCGGGACCCCCACCACCACCACCGCTTCCCGCTCTCCGCGCCGACATTTCGACACATCGCCCCCTCCACGTCCCTTCCCTTCCCACCCCAGGGCAGGAAGGAGCGTAGACGGCCCTCTGCTCCCCCCCTCCTCCTGCCCCTCGTTCTGCCTCTCCCCACCTCCAGTTCTCTGCCCCCCTCCGTCCACCAGGAACATGGAAAAGCCACCCGAAAAGTTGGAGCGTCCCCACGCCGCTGCGCGCTCAGCGCCCCAGGCCTTTCTGTTGGCACGCGGGCGCCTTCGGCAGGCGCTCCCCGT